AAATTAATTAATCTATCATACACAATACCAAACCCTAATTATCTCTCCAATTTTTTTTCCCTCTCTCTCTCTCTCTCTCTCTCTCACCTATCGCTAGCAATAACGGTCAAACGACTACCTATGCAACTGAAGATGTCGATAAACCCAAACAGTAGCGCGACACAGATTGGTTGTATATCAAGCGATGCCGCTACGTGAAATCGTTGCGTGTGGCACTGTACGTAGCGAGTTGTCGATCACTGCTTCGCCATTGGCGTTGCGGATCAAGGGGCGCTACAGATCGGGTCCTTTCCTCCATTTTTTCTCTAGTCACGGATGGTTGTGTTTATGGTTGTTGGTTGGTGTTTGGTTGGGTGCTTGTGGTTGTATGTAATTCCAATGCTGTTTTCAACGTGTGAGATTCCAATGAGCGCAAGTGGTAAAGTGGTAGTGATGGCGAGTAGTATTTCAATGAGATTGAGGTCATAGCGGAGAGTTGGGGTGCAGAAGATGTCATTTTCAGGGATCGACGAATTGAGAAACTGTAGATCTAGTATTCTATACTTTCGATCTCGTTTCACCCGTCTGTAACATAGAGGCAGTGGTGAGTCAAGTTATTTGGTGGTTGTGGATTAGCGATGACAAAAAAATTCACTCCGATGGGTTGGCGGGGTGGGGATGAATGTAACTTGTCACATTGTCTTAGGCACGGGGCAGGACATCCCAATCCACCCCGTGAAGAGAAAAAATTTTATTTTTGGACAATTCACCAGTTAAAAATTCATTTTGAATTTCTATTTTATTATCTAATAATAACATAACTCGAATTTTGAAAATGTAAAAAAAAAGAAAAAAGAAAAAAAAGGGCAAGTCACCCCCGTGCTCTGAACCCAACCCACTGCTATCCCTATTGTGGATTGAGGTATAGTTGGTGGTGCAATGCAGATGGAGGTGGTGTTTGTGGTACCAGTTGGTTTGTGGTAATGGTGGTGAAGGAGATGGTGCATTGTAGGTCGTGGTGGTGATGGCAATGACGACTGTATCAAGTTGGGATGGTGTAATAATTATTTTGATATTGTGATTGATATATTGATTAATTTGTGATCAATAAATAATATGTGACATGTACATTTTTTTATTCGTGATCGAAAATAATTTGTTATAAATTATTTTGTAATCAATAAATAATATGTGACATAAAAATTTGTTAGATTGTGACCAATAATTTGATAATTTGTGACTTAGAAATAATTTGTGGGCAATTAATTTGATATTTTGTGTTTGTAACATATAAAATTTATAATTTGTGATCGGAAAATAAATTGTGATCTATAAAATTTGTGATTTGTGACGAAGAAATAAATTGTGAGTTATAAAATTTTTGATTTGTAATTGAGAAATAATTTGTGAACTACAAAATTTTTGAATTGTGATGGAGAAAATGTTATAGACAATTAATTCGATGATTTGTGACCAGATTATGTGGAATTGTGACTTTAATATATTTAATTAATAAAATATATTTTTTTATTAATTATTTCATAAATAAATATTAATAATATCTGATTTTTAAAATTTTAAAACCTTGTTTATAAGTTTTGAAATGGATCATAGTTAAACTCTTAGATATGAATTTTTTTCTAAAAAATTTAAAGGAAAAATAAAGATTTAAAAAGTAAAGCCAAGCCCAAAAGAAGATGGGATTATCCATGGGTCGCGACCTGCTGTCGGGAGGAATTAGTGGCTGTTGGCCGGTTGACCAGGCCAATTTTTCAAACTGGCCTTTGACCAATGAAAAAAAAGGCAAAATTATAAAAAACAGTGAAAACAAAAAAAAATGAAGAGAATTCCAATTTTACCCTCACTTGAAAACGAAGCAGAAGCCGAAGGAGACGGGAAAATACTGTAGCACAGTCGACCCAGTCACCGACAAATAAGGAAAAACAGGAGACCCACTTGGCCAAAATTCCTCTGAAGAATGTAAGAAATTTATACAAAAAAAAACCATGTTTATATTTTTATTTTTGGAAAAAAGTATGATTTTATACATATTTCTTGAGAAATCCTTGTGTAAATGTGGAATTTTGGATTGTTATTACTTGGGAAGGAGTGGAGATCGCCGAAGATGGAGTTTTCCGGCGATCTCCTCGATCGGAAATGGTGGCAGACGAAAAATGACGACTGGGCACGCCGTCTGGGCGCCCTTTCCCAGTCAACTGGGCAACTGGGCCCAACTGGGCACCTGGGCGCCCAGTCAACTGGGAAGCTGGGCCGTCTGTTTTTTTTTTCTTTTTTTTTTTCCCAGTAATTATTGAAGTTAATTAAATAATTATTAATGGCTTATATTGTGTTATCTAATATGTAATTATTTATTTGAGTTGCTTAATTTGAATGTTTATTATGTATTTAAAATTATTAGTAAATATAATATGTAAATGTTATATTATTTATCGAAATATTTATTAGTTGCTAATTTAGATTAATTAATTATTTTATATTAAGTAATAGTAAAAAAATTAAAAGAAATAATATGATATTAAATAATTAATATATCTAAAGAATTTAAAAAAATATTTAAACATTTGTAAAATAATAAAAATAAGCAACTAAATTTGAAAAGTAAATTAGCAAAAAAATTTATTTTTTGAAAAGCAATTAAAATAAATTTGTAAATATGAAATAAGCATTATGCGTAAAGAATTAAAATTAGTATTTAAACATTCATTCAAATTAAAAAACTAAATTAAGTGTTAGAAAAATAATTAAAATATTAAAATAAGCATTTAAAAACAAGTGTTCCTAAATTAATTTTAAAAAATGAAATATTAAATAAGATATATATAAAGAATTTAAATACATAATTAAACATTTGTAAATAATTAAAATAAGTTTTAAAACTTCATTAAAAATAAATAACTAAATTAACTGTTAGAAAAAAAAATTAAAATAAGCAATTAAAATATTAAAATAAACGATCAAAATAAGTGTTATTAAAATTATTAAAAGAAATATGAAATAAATTTGTAAATATGAAATAAGCATTATGCGTAAAGAATTAAAATTAGTATTTAAACATTCATTCAAATTAAAAAACTAAATTAAGTGTTAGAAAAATAATTAAAATATTAAAATAAACGATCAAAATAAGTGTTATTAAAATTATTAAAAGAAATATGAAATAAATTTGTAAATATGAAATAAGCATTATGCGTAAAGAATTAAAATTAGTATTTAAACATTCATTCAAATTAAAAAACTAAATTAAGTGTTAGAAAAATAATTAAAATATTAAAATAAACGATCAAAATAAGTGTTATTAAAATTATTAAAAGAAATATGAAATAAATTTGTAAATATGAAATAAGCATTATGCGTAAAGAATTAAAATTAGTATTTAAACATTCATTCAAATTAAAAAACTAAATTAAGTGTTAGAAAAATAATTAAAATATTAAAATAAACGATCAAAATAAGTGTTATTAAAATTATTAAAAGAAATATGAAATAAATTTGTAAATATGAAATAAGCATTATGCGTAAAGAATTAAAATTAGTATTTAAACATTCATTCAAATTAAAAAACTAAATTAAGTGTTAGAAAAATAATTAAAATATTAAAATAAACGATCAAAATAAGTGTTATTAAAATTATTAAAAGAAATATGAAATAAATTTGTAAATATGAAATAAGCATTATGCGTAAAGAATTAAAATTAGTATTTAAACATTCATTCAAATTAAAAAACTAAATTAAGTGTTAGAAAAATAATTAAAATATTAAAATAAACGATCAAAATAAGTGTTATTAAAATTATTAAAAGAAATATGAAATAAATTTGTAAATATGAAATAAGCATTATGCGTAAAGAATTAAAATTAGTATTTAAACATTCATTCAAATTAAAAAACTAAATTAAGTGTTAGAAAAATAATTAAAATATTAAAATAAACGATCAAAATAAGTGTTATTAAAATTATTAAAAGAAATATGAAATAAATTTGTAAATATGAAATAAGCATTATGCGTAAAGAATTAAAATTAGTATTTAAACATTCATTCAAATTAAAAAACTAAATTAAGTGTTAGAAAAATAATTAAAATATTAAAATAAACGATCAAAATAAGTGTTATTAAAATTATTAAAAGAAATATGAAATAAATTTGTAAATATGAAATAAGCATTATGCGTAAAGAATTAAAATTAGTATTTAAACATTCATTCAAATTAAAAAACTAAATTAAGTGTTAGAAAAATAATTAAAATATTAAAATAAACGATCAAATTAGCAAATTAAGTATATGGAAAATAGTAATTTACATTCATTTTGTTTATTCCGTTATCGGTTGGTTATTGCATCTAATAGCAGTGTGTTAGTATATTTTTTTAATATTTTTGTTTATCGAACGTTATTTGCATAGGGTCCTAATATTTGAAATTTTGCAGGATGGAATATCATTTGGACGACGCTGTCAGACAGATCCCTGGTAAAGTTACCTCGAATTGTAACTTTACCAGCTTCGCTTTGGTATTGGATTTGCTGGACGCCGATCACGCAGATATATTACGTCGATCATGCTTATGGCCATTGTATTCGTTGCGTGACGTACAGTGGTCTGGGCAGCTGTTGGATGCCCTATTATGTCGCTTGCTGAAGCCAGTTGACGGAGACGCCCTCCATTTTGATCTTGGGGGCACGGTAGCCACGTTCTCTATATTTGAGTTTGCTCTCGTCACTGGACTGCGATGTACGGATGATGCAGAGGCGAGGGCCTGTGTTCCGAGGAACAGGAGGCTGTTGAAGAAATATTTTCATGGACAGACGATGGTTACTCTAGCGCAGCTAGGAGATGCATTAAGGAGATGTGACCGGATGTCTGATAGGTTGAAGTTAGGATTGGTGCTTATCATCGAGAGCATACTCCGGTGTCATCACAAGAAGATATTGATTGACATTTTTCATTTGGAGGTTGTTGAAGATATTGATGCCTTCAACAACTACCCATGGGGTTGGAAATGTTTTCTTGATACATTACGCGTGTTTAGGAGGGGGTTTTCAATGCCAAAGGGGGATAAGCCCGAGCGCAAGTACGATGCATATGGACTGCCGTTGGCGCTGCAGGTATATGTTTAAGTTAATGAATTACCTACACTTTTTTTATTGAATTGTATAAATAATAATTGTAATTGTTTCAGATATGGGTGTACGAGACTGTCCCTATCTTGGCCAGTCGGTATGCGAGGAGAGGAGAGACATGCTATCCTCGGATGCATCACTGGCGAGCACAAGACAAGCCGCTTGCCAGATAGTTATCGGCTCTCCTCGACGATCCTGAGGTACGTATTATACAATTGCTATTTATATTGTACGTCCTTTTACAATCTGAATATATAATCATTAGCTGTGACATATGAAAATGACAGCTTGAAGTTCTCACTGAGTTGGCACCGTCGATCGAGGAGGAGAGTCAGTTTTATATTCGCGAATTGCCTCTTCGTACTGCGCATGACGATCAGATGCCTGAGTCCAGGATGGATCGAGATAGGGTATGTCGCTGTGCAGGATTTATTGAATATCGCTTCGATTTTGTAATTAAGTGCCTCACTTGTAATATTTATTTTTTCAGGAGGATCGTTCAGTATTACCTTCGTTGAAGATATCACCTCCATCGAGGAGAGCACGTCCAGCGAGGATGTCACCTCCGCTGAGAAGATCACGTCCAGCTACGCCAGAGGTTCAGATGCCTGGGTCCAGCGTTGATCGAGATAAAGTATGTTACTTAAAAATAATTCTTCGATTGTCGTTTTATTTTATTTGTTACGTTATTCATTTGTAATAGTTATTTTTCAGGAGGGCCGTCCAGTATCGCCTCCTGCACCTAGTCCCCGTGCTTCGACGATTGATTTGTTCGACCTCCTGAGGGAGATGAGAGGAGACATGGCAGAGTTCCGGGATAATGTCGTGACACTACGAGCTGAGTTCGGGGACATGGCACAGTTACGATATGATGTCGCGATGTTACGAGCTGGGTTAGGAGACCTACATGCTGAGGTTGTAGCGATACGGGGTGACATAGCAGGCCTGCGTGGGACGAGCGATTATCGAGATGGAGGAGGTAGCGGAGGGACAGGTCACTATCGGGACGGAGGGGGTGACAGAGGGACTGGTGGCTATCGAGACGGAGGGACTGGCGGTTATCGGGACGGAGGGGGTGACTGAGGGGTCGGTGGTTATTAGGGGGGAGGGGGTCAGATAGGGTATGTTGACTCATCGTGGCCATCAGTTGCTGCATTTGATTCATTTTTAAATGACACGATGGGGATGGAGGAGCAAGAGAGGATATCTGTGGTGGAGGGGGTGCCCGCGCAGGATATACCTGAGGACGTGGAGGGGGTACCCGAGGAGGAGAGGGTACCGGAGATGGAGGTGGAGGTGGTACCGGAGGTGGGGGTGCCCGTGCAGGGGATACCCGAGGACGTCGAGGGGGCATCGGAGGTGGAGGTGGTACCCGTACAGGGGATACCCGGGGATGCCGAGGGGGTACCGGAGGAGGATAGGGTACTGGAGGTGGAGGTGGTACCCGTGCACGGGATACCCGGGGATGTCGAGGGGGCACCGGAGGAGGAGAGGGTACCGAAGGTGGAGGTGGTACCCGAGAAGACGCCAGACTCGGCGGTCGTGGTCTTTGTGTCGGAGGAGGTGGTCCCGACAGCGGGCGAGGGGGTCGTCCCGATGGCTGAGGAGATGGAGATTCCCGAGGCGCATGAGGAGCGGGTGGTCGACAAGAGGCCAAGGGTGCCATAACAGTACTTTCTTTCTCCCTTTACCGCGGAGGCGAAGAGGAGAAGGTTCGTCGACGGGACGCACCCGAATTTATTCAGGGAGGTGGACCACGCCAAGTGGAAAGCCTTTGAGACAGAGTGGAGAGCACTGCAGCCTGGGTCAGTTTTGTATTTTATGTAATTACTATAGTACGCAGACATTGACACATGTATACTTCATATAACTAAAAATTCTATTCTTATTTTTTCAGGGCCAGCCGTACGATTGCTGAGAAGACGATCTCAAATGCTTACAAGTGGTTCCACGACATCACCACTTCGGGGGCTTGGCTCGCCGACGATGTAAGTGAAATGAAAATATTGTTATTTATTATGTACGTTCAAAATCAATTTTTTGAATGAAATTCATAGATTAACTCCTTTCTTTATTGGTGTTTCTTGATGTAGCACATCGACTTGAGCATGGATTTGCTACGGGATCGTGCTGAAAGACATTCAAAATCGTTCAACATTCCTGGCAGACTCATATTGAACACCGAGTTCATCCGTGCCGTTGACATTGAGTACCAGTTGTTCCAGGCTATGGGTAGCGAGTACACGGTGCCGGAAGCCATGGGATGGCTGTACGCATATGTACGTACCAGTATGTCTGAATCATCACTACATTGCAGTGGAAATCGTATTCGCCGACTCCACGATGTATGTGTACGACCCCGATCATTCATACCTGACACAAGGCCAGCTCGAGCAAAATCTAGAGTCACTGTCTGTGATCGTTCCCATGATGGCTAGACGAGTGCAATCAACTAGACATTGATACAAAATTGGAGAAATAAATTAGCATGTGATTTGTTTGAATTTAATGGGGATCCATAAATAATTGTACATGTTTTTACATTTATTTGAACAATGTACATTTCATTCATTTATTTGTAATTACGAAAAAATTGTAAAATGTTGATTGCGTATTAATATTTAAATATTTATTTTACAATGCAGCCTACCGTATGATGCAGTGTCTAGAAAAAATTTCGATTTCAAATAATTAACATAAATAATATGCATAACAAATGAATGTAATGAATGAAATGTTTGAAAAAAATACTAAATCTAATAATTCGCATAAATAATATGCATAAATAATTAACGTCAATGTTATAAATAATTACATTGCCAATAGTTATTAAAATTACACATCCGTTACATTGTCATGTAGAGGAATCTGATTTGTACAATATCTTCTAGTATGCCCTGTTGCACCGCACCTACCGCACTTACGAGGCTGTGGAAACTCTCCGGTAGATGGTATTCTAGACGTACGTGTACGTCCAGGAGTACGTGGTCCAACTGCTGGTGGCAACAAGTTATTCAGTGGGAGAATGTGGTCGGGCACTTCCCACTCGACTTCATTTGGTACAGGAAATATTGTTTCCGCATATGCTGCTCTCCAATAATCAGTCATGAAATATACACTGCATAAGGTGTGTGGTGGTAATCCTCTATGCATAGCCACTGCCACTGCATGTGTACATGGAAAACTCTCCAACTGAAACCGTCTACACGTGCACGTGTTATCATTCAAGTCCACAATGTATCCGAAATTACGTGCACATCTCACGGAGAAGCGAAATTGATCCAGTGGTTCTACATATACCTTTCTTGCCACATCTAGAGTCTTGAAGAGCTTATCTTCTTGAGCCGGGGTTAGCACACTTGCACAACTCTGTGATTCCTCACGTCGATCATGAAACCACTGTTGTAACTTGTCACGAATGTTCTCAATCATTGCAAGAATTGGTAACTCTCGATCTTTCTTGAATAAAGCGTTAAGCGACTCCGCATTATTCGACGTCATCATGTTGTATCAACGTCCTGGAAAATGTGATCGTGCCCAATGTTCAATTCCCATCTCTGTTAGATACTCCCATGCAGCATTCGATTTACTGTCTATTTCGACCATGAACTTATTAAACTCTTTAAAACTGTAAGCCTCTGCAGCTCTCCTAAACAACGCAACGACGCCATTGCCTCGATACCTGGTCTTCAAGTTTCCCTGTATATGGTACATACAATAACCATGATGTGCCTCGGGGAAGATTTCGGCGATACCATTTATTATTGACTGCTCTCGATCGGTTACGAATGTAAGATTTTCGACATCTCCAATTACTTCCCTCAACTTTGTGAAAAACCAACTCATTGCTACATCATTTTCTCCGTCGACTATGCCGAACGCAAGAGGGTAAATTTGGATGTTCGCATCTTGGCATGTTGCAATAATCAACTTGCCCCCGTATCTCGCCTTAAGGGTTGTACCATCGACTAAGATTAGGGGTCGCATTGCATTTCGAAATCCTTGAACACATTGTCCAAGGGCCATAAAGAAATATCTGAAGCGATTTTCGTCATCCTTCTCAATAAAAAATGCCGACCCAGTATTAATTCTTCCCATGTTATAGCAATACCTGGCTAATGTAAATAAAAATAATCATAATTTAGATAATATATTAAATATTAAATGAACAGAAAAATAAACAATTCAATTAAATAATTAATTACATATAAATAAACAATTGAAATTAAATAATTAAAATTTACAATAACAAAGAAATAAACACTTAAACAATGAAATACCTGGCTAATTTAGCATAACTCTCCTCAGCCGAACCCATCAAATCCTCCAATGCACATTCTTTAGCCTTCTGATAGCTCATGACCACCCCATACTCTCGTTGAACATCATTAATGATGTTCGAAGGTCTGTAGATCGTTCGTGGATCCTGGAACTTGTGCATTATTTCTCGACCAATGAACCATGATCGGGCCTGTCTATGATCATTTCGACGAATAACCACTTCGCAAGTATGTTCCCGTGCATACTTACGAACTACAAAGAACTCATTCGTGTCCATCTTAGTCGCTCGCAAACGCCAATGGCAACTGTCGTCAACGCAGATAATTGTATATAACAACTTGTTTGATTTCTTCACTTTAAACTCGAAGTTATGTTTTAAAGCAATCCGGTGCACAGCTTCTTGCAATTCTTTCTTTGATTCGAATAGTTGCTCGACATATACATCTTCATCATCGGGAACTATACGCGACCAATTAGAGGACCGTGTACTCGGTCCGGCCTGTGAGCTCCCACCCGACTCATGTCTCCTATGAGATAAAGCAATCAAATCCTCGTTTGTAAATGCATTTTCATTCTCGTTGTCTTCAACTATCGATGAAATTCTGTGCGTAACAGTGTGACCATGGTGAGTAGCAGTGGTCTTGGGAATAACCACATCATCTTCACGAACAATCTGAATTGTATCCCAAACATCATTTACATTACGATTCTCTTCATTTGAAACTTCGTGTTCACCCTCGTGGACATTCTTCCCCAATAAAGTTACGCAAATAGGAGTCGACTTCCGGCCTTGGTTCAATTTAATTAGATGTTTCATTTCCACTTCAGAAGTAACTTTCATAGGTGGAATTGAAATGGTTGAATGCTTATGAAACAAAAATCCCAATTCCATATCGTACTGAGAGGGATCGACGTTAAGCATGTTTTGTATATCACTGTACATTTCTACGAACGATGTACTCCTTGTTATAAAAATTGCTTTAACCCCATCTCCTTCACTCGTCCATTTCCATTCCCACTGAGCATTTTCATTCATTTGAAATTCACCAAAGTAACAAATTGGGACACATGCTGATGCCATATCTGCCACAAATTAAAAATAAGGAATTAATATATAATTTTTTAACTTGTTCATTTCATATTTAATTTAATTTAATACTTTAAATAATTCATTGATTATTTTAATTGTTTCAAAAATATTTATTTCAATTAGTATTTAAATATTCATTAATATTTATTCCAATAAACATATATTAATGAACAAATAAATTCTAAAATCTGAAAGGGGAAAAAAAAAGCCATATAACTGGGCCGGCTGGAAACATTTGACCCAGCTTTTTTCGTCCGTTTCATCTGAAATTTACGCTCAAATTTTTTATTTTTTCCCTTTTTCAACGAAATAATGTTTAAATATTTATTTTACAGACACCTATAAATTTTTCCTGTAAAATATATGCATACAGAGATGAATTTCTTTTGTTGTTTTTGCTATAAAAAAATTATAAATCTGTGTTTAAATACTGTAAAATTCATCTGCCTTTCTCAAAATAATTATTTACAGATTCAAACAGTAAATTTAACTAAAACAAAATTCAAAATACGTATTTACACTTACCAATTTTCAGTGGCGACTGTGAGTATTGTTTCTTTCTTGAACCTTTGATAATTTTGGGAGATTTCAATATTTTAGCAGATGGAAGGAAAAAAATTCTATTTTACTGTATTGGAGAAACTGATAAACAAAACTGATTTTGAAATTTACGTATGGAAGTAACAGAATTTATTTAAATTATTAAGGATATTATTGTCTTTTAAACAATTGATATACTTTTGTAATTATTAAAAATGAATAAGGGTAGAATTGTCTTTTTAATGACAATAGGTCAATATGTTGAATACAAAAAAAAATGATCAAAATGAAAAATTGGTTGTTTGACTAAGTCATTTTAAAAAGTACCCCCGCTGTCGGCAAGACCATGATGCCACAAGCCTATAACTCGTTTCTCTGATAGTCTGACTAGAGTGTGCTAGGGTTTTCTTAAGGAAAATGGTCTTTTGGATCCTGGATTCTTGAATCAATGTTTGTCTGAAAATGAATCCGATTATTAAATAGTCGATTATTGCGATTTAGTTCTATGGTTGAATTGATTCGTTCGACCTTCTTTTGTGTGTATATATACGTACACATAAACAAATCATGCATTTGATTGTAAAACCTTTTAATGTCATCACACGATTTTGAGATTTGAGAGAGAGAGCAAGAGGGAAATTATCATTAAATAGAGGGAAAAAATGAGCGGGAGTTTGAGTTCGGGTTACAAAGAGTATATGGCGGGTATGTTTGCGGGTGTTGCCACTGTCATCGTTGGTCACCCATTTGACACCGTGAAGGTCTCTCTCATACTTTTATCCTTTTTTACTATTCTTCTTTAGTGTATGTGTGTGTTCTGGTTTACTTTAATTTTGTATACATGTTTGGTTCAGGTTAAAAGCCAAATTAACTGGCCTTTTTTGGGTAGCATCAAGAGTGTTACTGCTGAAAAAGGCAGCTTTTCTTTGGCTATTACCAAAAGCCGAACAAGCTTGGCCATTCATTCTTGCATTAATTTGTGCTAGTTTTCAACTTGGGTGAAAAATGTGAAAAATAGTAACTTGTAAAGTGAAAGTACAGTGATACTAATTTTAGCAGAGTATCGATCAGCTGATGGGCTAAGCAAAATGTAGGAATTATTAGATGAGTCTTGATTATGTACTCAGTAGGCGAGGCTGGTAGAACATCCAAGTTTTCCTAAAAATACTAAGGGAAGCTCATATCACATCTTACATTTATGGGATCCATTCTCTGTAAGATTTCACATAATAAGGTGTCATCTTCTGAATACAGATTACAGATGACATTGCTGTCTCAATTTTTTGGCATGTTCCAATTACACTAGAAATGGTGGTAGGTGCTTTATCTTTTCATACTGACCTGTTTGGTTTGGGCACTTAGTAGTGCAGACAGCTATAGGTATCGTGTCTTGGTTCCTGGTAAGTAGTTAATCTTAAATGGAATATCCGAAGGATCCAATTACACTGAGTAGGGTGTAGCACAGCGATTCATCATACACTATGAATGGGATGTAGCACAGCTGTTAATCCCATTCCCTTGTTATTAAATTGCAAGCTCTTTAAATCCCAAGTTTCGTTTTGGCATCCAGCAATGGGTCATCATCTAAAATTCATTTCAAATGCATTCTTGCCTTTGTTGTTTAAAATATTGAGCTAACCAGATTATTTGCATCTCAAGTTTTTCCCTTTCTATGCATCTCGTCAGGTTAAGCTCCAAAAACACAACACAGAAGCAAATGGAGTGAGGTACAAAAATGGTTTTCATTGTACTGCGAGAATACTAAAGACTGAAGGAGTATGCCTCTTAACTTCTAGTGAGACTATAGTTAAAGTTATTATGTTATCTGCTTGAACTGTTGCAATCGGAGAAGTGGAGAGGAAGTTTTGTTTAATTTTTAGTCTTCGATAGCTGAAGTGTTGAGTTTGTTTGCCTGTGAAGTTTGCGCTCGTGCTTCTTCAGAACTATCTCTAGAATTCTAGTCTACGAGTTCAATGAAATCCTTTTTGACCATATGATATTGTGAAATAACTGAAAAATAGTTTCAGTATCCTTATTACATAGTTTACGAGTGAACCATAATACATATTCGATGTAGTTTATCCTTTGAGTAAAAATAGTTGATCATAGCTGCCTGCTTCACTTTTCTGCTGAAAACTGATTCATGGCTCTTTTGACAGGTGAAAGGGCTTTACCGCGGTGCAACACCTTCTTTCCTGGGAATGGCCTTTGAAAGCTCACTTGCCTTTGGAATTTACTCTCAGACAAAGCAGTTTCTGCAGGTTGCTTTCACAGTTACATCTTTTTAGGCCTATTCAGCTTTCCTTGTTCAAGGTTGTACTGTGTGCTAATTTGAATCCTCTTCTTCCTAGTAGGTAGGATCACATAGCAAACAGCCACAGTTTAGTGTAATATTTCCCTCTGGGGCTTTTGCCGGAGCCATTATTAGCTTTATACTATGCCCGTCAGAGTTGGTAAAGGTAAGTAAATCAGAAATCTTGTGTGGCTATCTTTGTGTATTTCAAATCATGCACGTGATAGTGAGATTCTCCAGTGTAGGATGCAAGTTCAAGGCGCTGACTCTTTGCTTCCAGGCTCCAGGAGATATGCTGGTCCTCTTGATTGTGCCCTGGAAACAGTAAAAAATGAAAGGGTGAGAAAATCCATGCTCAGTGGAAATTAGCCATTTGATGTCCCTCCAAGCTGATAGAATACCTCTTCAGCTTACAGGCTTATTTCGAGGAGGATTCACAACCTTCTTAAGAGAATCTATGGGAAATGCAGTCTTTTTCAGCACATACGAGCATGTACGCTATCACATGCACCGAAAATTAAGAGATTCTTCATCTGGTGTAACTGGTTTGGTGGACATGGGAATTGGGATTGTTAGTGGTGGCCTTGGCGGCATAGCAGTAAGTTTTGTTTTTTCATTTTTTTTTGTTATAGATATTATTTTGGATCTTGGAGACCGTGATTTCATCTTTCCAGATTGATACAATACTATTTCCCCCTTTCCTTCCTATTTTGATTTCTCACGCTTTGTGCATGTAGTGTTGGTCTGCTGTTCTGCCATTGGATGTGGCAAAAACCAAAATTCAAACTGCTCCTGACAGAAACCATACAAGAAATCCTTTTCGGATTTTAAAATCTGTATGCTACCTCTACCTTTCATATTGCTGAGTTTTGAATGAGCTTTTCTAGTTATTAAGTGATAATTCTTTTTGTTTTTTGTTTTTTGTTTTTTTTGGGATAGATTTACAGGAGGTCTGGACTTAAAGGATGCTATACAGGTCTTGGTCCCACTGTAGTTAGGGCATTTCCTGCTAATGCTGCTGCAATTGTCACATGGGAGATGGCTGTGAAAATGTTGGGAATCCGCCATGACTAAACCTATTTCTCTTGTCGTGGACCTAACTTTGCTAATGGTTCTTGGCTGGCAAATTGATGATTCCACTGGAACTGTACTGAATGATGCAATTAATTTGATTAGAAGGTGTCAGAAGATGAGACAAACAGAAGTCTAGTTGAAGTCCCTAGAGACATGGCTCATAGACGAACGCTATCAATTTTAAGGTAATGCTGGATTGTTTTCATTTTTGGATTGGCTAAGAATTGTTTAAGCATTTTAAGCAGGTTTCATATAGCTTATTCCCACGATTAATTGCCTGTCTTTGTGGGTATAGTCTTCATCGGAGGAGTCTATTTATATGTTGTCACTTAGTGAAAAAGGGTCAGCGCTATGGCCCCCGATCCAAAATTGACCATGGACATTTCATAGCCTAGTTAAATTTTAAGATACGTCCATTTTGTTCAAGCTTCATATTTTGCTAAAACTTAAACTGTATTGGTTATTTGATTATTTCTTTCTGTTGGGATTGAACTCGGTCTTGTTGGGTCCATTGCCACACACATGAAACTTCAATGTACATCGACTTGTTGGTATTCCGTTTGGTTCAATTGTCACCGAACCAGATTAAGTTGGACTATGTCCACTAGTTTATACTTTCTAAGGGTGTAGAAGTTGCGTTAATTTGGCTAGGAGGATAGAGGGATGCAAATTTCGAAGTAATTGATGGATTAGTTGACGTGTGAAATTAAATTTTCGGTCGAATTAGGGACTCATGCTCAATGTATTTATCATCACGCCAACATATAGCACGCCTAGCCATGCACTTTATTCCTATGGTTTAAATGGCCACTTTTGTAGACTTTTCACACACTACAAACCTTAAAGCTAAATTAAAGCACACACTTATTTTTTTACCAACTACTTTAGTAATTAACTGAAAATTTATAATTTCAAAAGCTGAATTAAAGCAACAAAAGCAAAAGCCAAAACATTAAACTTGATTAACTGTTGTATCAGAAGCAAACCTAACCAAACTCAAATTCTCTATAAAAAAGGTAAAAATTCATACATGGTTAAATACGTATATTGATCAAACACAAAAGAATAGGGAAATACAAAACAAGATTCAGGAAATCTGTATATTAAAGCAAAGTAAATTTCTGGAGTTTTGTCTTTTGAATTTACGAAGAGTCCTCAGATGGTCTGCATGCCGTGATGAAATTCACGGATATGGATTATAGCTTGGCAGATTATCATGCCATTGATTGGGTTGGAAGGACCAGTCTCACTGCTGGTGGAATTATCCCACACGTTGGAGGTTGTGGATGAGGAACTGGTGGTGGTGTTGATGAAGGTTTTCAGGCCGTGAACCCAGAGGTTTGGGTTAAACCAGGTTTGGCTGAAATGGGAGAAAATAATTAGGCACTTGGAATTCTTGAGGTTGAGCCTATCGTGCCTCTAGAAATGGAATATTTAGCGCACTGCCGCCACCAAATCCACTGTTGAATTGGGTGTCCCCACTCAAATTCTCAGCCGCTTGATTGATTCCCTGTGGATGGCTGGCACCCAAAGAAGATAAATTCCCCCCACCAAAACATATAGAATTCATTGGAGAAATCATGTTCACCGGTGAAATCCCAGAATTCTGGGATGGAATTCGTGGTGGTTGTAAGGGCTGAGTTCTTCCAGTCTCGCTGTCTGTGGAGGACGGTGAGGCTTTGCTCTGTTTTGCTCTTTCGGCTACCATCACCAACAGGGACATTCCTCAATGTCCCACCGCGAGTTCAATACCTTCTGCAAGACTTGCAGAAGTACCGGGTTGGGATAGGCTGTAGTTGTTTTAGTAACAGAACTTTGTGTTAGTTGCTTCACACCGTGGACGCTTCTGTGGTGGCAGTGGCTGATGGTGGCTGACTTGATGGTGTTGAGACTGAGACAGAACTCTCCAGCAGCTTAACCTGCCTTGCCACCACCGACTGCTGATCTGTCAATTTTCTCCTCCTGCTTGCTCCATATAGAATTACACTAGAAAAGGCAACTTCAGCTACAGGTTTTTTTGGTAGCTTCTTTTGCTGGTAAACTGTTGTGTAAATTTTCTCGATGGAGTTAGTTTTTGAAGTGTTTTTTTTCTTGGGATTTTGATAGAAATGAATCGGGCTTTAAGTCGTTATTAGTTAAATGGAGAGATTACTTCAACTTTTGGGATATGTATGTAATACATAATTTTTCTTTGCTGGGATAATGATAATCAGATACAAACTTGCAAAAATGATGCAAGAAATTTGATTTGTTATTTACCAAGCAAGAAAATCCAAGGGTTTTTCCTATAATCCGCAAAAGGTCAAACAAATTTAACTCCTTTTTCATTAGAAGGGAGGGGGACCAGCGGGTGGTGGTGAAGTATGGCGAGGAGGCGGCACTGGAGCGTGGTTGCTGTGTCTGCCTTTCAACGTTGCAGTTTCATCCCTCTTTAAAGGTTCTACACTATTGTTGATTTTATAGCCTAGTACATCGATATAACCTCCATTTCGTGGTACCTTCAAGAAGAATAATAATCTCGTTTCTTAATTCTGACCTGACTAAGTCTTAACGAATGTAATTTGTTTAAGTCCCATGATCTGGAGTGTCACTTAGACAAGTGGTGTTGGATATCATTATTTTAACATAAATTAATGAAAATCCTCGTATTGTATTCCATAAAAGCCTGTTATAATAGTAGGCGTATGGCAATAGTTAGGGTGACGCTAATTTCTGTTAGGAGTGTTGGAGGTTACAACTGCTCCACGGTTAGTTATTGCCGTGTGGACCATTTTCGTTCTACTGTTTCAGTTTAGTACTTACACAAACCTCAACAATATATGTTTTTTAGGTCATTGCCTTGAACGGGGCAAATAAATATTTTCCCAGAAACACCGGACATTTTTGTCACCTTTTACTCATGCATCAAACCTTAACGCATAGTTTATGTTTGGACGGACGCCAGGTACGTAAAACTAAATAATTAAAGGAATACGGTGCAAATGATCCTAATGTACGGCCTTGCTTATGGTTTGTAACGTTTCATTCGGTGATCATTGGTCCGATACTTGGAGCAAAACCAATTTCCAAGGTGTGATGGGCGTTGTGTACAGGATCTAAGTACATATTCAACGTGGCATGTTGATTCGTGATATCACCTTCATGTTCCTGAGCTGAAGAAAACAATCTGAACTAAGGCAATCTTTCTGGATATGCATATGACCTTATGGGGCAATCTTCTAAATAACCGGATTATTGATCCTATTTTCCACAATAGCCTTATCTATTGGAAATACTATTTTACCCTTTTATTATTTGCAAGATGTATCTTGTATCTTTGGGGACTTATTAATCAGGACTTATATCCATGTTTTTTAATCTTTCAAACACCTTTAAGTATTTTTTGTATCTTGATAATTTTTCAAAAATCCTAGGCTGATCTTCCTTAGTTATATATCATTGAACTAATCCTTCTGAGACTTCTTTTTGTATTTCTCTATGTTTAGTTATAATATCTTCTACCTTTCTTATTTCTCTACTAGTTTTTACAGAATCAAATCTTATATTATTCTTACAATAATGATCAATATCTTGATATATTTCTTCAATTTTTTCTTTTTCAACAGGAAATATATCTTCAAACTTTTCAGCTAATTTAAATAAAAACGAAATATCTTTCTCATCTAAGTATAATCTAAGATCATTAGAAGTAGATGTGGATGCTTGTGAATTGTTCATCAAAATAATCAAAGCAAAAGTATATAAAAACGAGTAAATAACTTATAGTAATCAAATACAAGTGAACAGGCTTTCCCTCCAGTATGTTCTTATAGATGCTTTGCATGTATTTAATCAATCTTCTGAATCAAGTAAAGATTTAAAATGTTTTTTGAAATCATTTGGGTCCACAACTGCTTCAGCAAAAGGCTTTTCAATTAAGGTTGCATTTCTCATTCTAGAGAACTAACCGTGTCACCACAGACGCTATTAGTGATGGCAATTTACCCCACCTCGCCCCGCCCCGCTCTGAATGGGGCAAAAAAACCCGCCTCGTGGTGGGGCGTGGGGCAGGGCGGGGCGAGGATGCCCCGCCTCGAACTCGCCCCGCTCCGTGAAGAAAAAGTAAAAAAAAAAAAATTAAAAATAATTTTATTTCTAAACAATTCATCTGTTAAAAACTCATTTTAAATTTGTATTTTATTATCTAATAATAACATAATTCGAAACTTTCAAAATGTAAAAAATAAAAATAAAAATAATTAAACGGGGCAGCGAACGGGGCAAAAAGTTGCCCTGTCCCGCCCCGTCTAAGGCAGGGCGGGCCGGGGTTTTTGCCAAACGGGGGGGTGCCCCGCCCCGAACCCGCCCCGTTGCCATCACTAGACGCTATCTCACAGTATCCAGATTTTCTGTTTTCACCTCTATCCAAACTCTTTTCAGAATCAAGTTCTTACTTGGAACGAAATTTTAAAAGATAACTCACACACAGGGTGCTACAATTTTGTTAGAAAACTGCATTTTTCCCCTAAACCATTCATCAAAGACGGGTACTTTGGCATGACTAACATCCATTTAAAATCAATGTTTTGAAAATCTTTTAAAATCTCTATCTGTACTGTCGAGGAATCATGAGAAACTTAACGAAATCCTTTCACGAAAGCTTTGTTGAACATAACAAACTTTACTTTGATATTCATAAACTGAAATAGTACATGATTACAATCTATATTTACATACCTTTGGTACTCGCCTTATGAAGTTTAGAATTCCATAAGTGATTACCTTATTACAAGTTTTGCTATCTTCAAGCTATTTAATATTTTTTCTGAATACAAGTGGTGTATACAGATTACAAAAATATATCTCTCAGATGTGTTTCTTCAGAGTGTTTAAGAGATAAGTTGTTTCGAGATATCTTCTTTCTTCCTTCTTGCCTCCTTTTATAGAAGCCTTTGAGAATCTTATCTTGATAGGTGTTTTCCACTTCCTTTTGTTGGGTAGCTCAATAATGTTATCTACATCGATTTCTCCATTATCTTCTTGCTAAGTGGACCTCTCATTTTGAAAATTTATGCTTTATTTTTGAATTTGTCTTCCACTTATGACAACTGGTGGGTGAGTAGTCACAATTATGGAGACTTTTGCACTATCTTCTATCTTTTAGTAGCCACAGTTTTTCTTTAATAAATTTCTTTATTAAAGTAGTGATAAATGGCCACTTTTGTCACCATCACTTTTCCATTTTCGAGTCAAAGAATTTTATAGGGAATTCTTTACTATTGAGAGACGTTTGACTCATATCTTCAACTACGCAGTATTCACAATGGTGATTACTGTAGTTACAGAGTATTCTTTAGCCATGTCTTCTGATCCATGTACTTGGTTGGAGATAATTGCAGATAATAAATGGTCGAGATAACAAATATCTTCTTCTTTTGTAGCCATTCTTGCATTGGAGTAAATAATATGGTCTTCAGATGGATAAATCCATATTTTTTCGTTTTCAGTAATTG